GTGTTTGTCAAATTCAACTTTTTTTTTGAAAAAAATTGAAAAAGTGCATTTCTAGATCGAATTTAACAAAAAGTTACTTGAAAAAGTTGTGTCTACGGCAATTTTATATCCATATGCCAAATTTTATGCAACTAGGATGAAGTTAACGTTTTGCTCATTTTTGACAGATATCTCCTTTATTTTAAAAAACAAGTTCGATTATTTGTCATCAATTCATGTATAAATAACAAACTCATCATGGAGTTTAATCCACTTCAAAGGACTTCAAACATGTCTTACCATCACTTTTGAGTCTGGTCAATAACAATGAAAAGTATACATGGTCACACTATTAAAAACCCACCCATTTTTTCAAAGGATGTAATTGCAACTCAATATAAACCGAAGATCTGTTAAATCTATTAAAATATGTTTTTTCGTTAACAAGCTGTCGCCCCTACGAACTACAACTCTTAAAAGTTGAAACATGTTCGAGCTAAGGACTAACGAGGTCTTACTTTTCAACGTATGATTCCTTGAACTGAAGATAGGTATATGAGAATTTCTTGATATGTGTATTTTCAATATGTATGTGAATATCTAATTGATTCCAGTGAACGTATTTGTTTTCCAAAGGTCAATGTTTCTTTGAACGAAAGGTGCGTTATTTCTTTTCACAGAAAAATCTTCAAATCGCTCTAAGAGCGGTGCCTGTGCGAAAGAAGCGATTCACATCAGATTCAAATCGCTGGAGATTAAATTCATTTGGAAAAACGTTCCACATAAACGCATTTCTCCAGATGAAAGAGTTCTTAAACAGTGAAGTTCGAGGTGTACTGAGTTGAACCTCTAAACAATGAGCAATAATTTTATAGTAGTTTGATTCAGAATACAAATTTCACCAACATCTAATAGTTACAATAAAAAAATATCCCGTCTCAATTGTCCAATCGCTAGTAATTGAGTGATATCTTGGCGCCAATAAATAATGAAATATGTTGAAGTTGTGACTTCTGTATAATTTCTTTATTAAGTGAAAATTATTGTCACCAGTAACACAACAAAAAAAACCTTTCCAAAAAAAATTATCGAAATGAACTCATCCAAATCTGAATTCTCAATACTTACTTCTTCCGTTATATACTTAAAATCGTTGAAGTCTGCGTAAGGTGTTAGTCCAAAAGCTTTTCGTGCGGAATTAAAATCTGGTAGGCCATGATCCCGTCCCCTCTGTATGTTGACTGCCATGAGATCCCTTCTGGGAAACTCCAGTGGTCCAAAAACGTTTCCCCTCAAGTCTTCAACAATGACATGATCCTCCCGCTCTGTCAGCTGCACCGACATGCCCATGAGAAGTCTGTCAATATCAATAAACGTGCTGTTGTCGTCAGTCTTATTCAGCATCGGTTCCTGAGGTCTCCAGAAGATGTTGCAAGTGCGCACAGCGTTAGGTTTCCACGACCTGAATTTTGTAGTGCAGTTTTCCCGAATGTAGTTTCTCAGGTAGACACCAGGAACTACAAGAGTGTGACCGAAACGGAAAGCTGCTGACTGGAAGAATTGGTCTATTTGGGGGTCTATGCTCACGTCGTAGCCTTCGTAACGCGGGAGATTGCCTACCAGAACTGGCAGCCATTCGTAGAGGACGATTTGCTGTTGGGTTGCTATCACCCATTTTCTGGCCTCGTTGTAAATCTTCTCCGAACTCCAGTTTGGATGGTGGGAGTGGATTCTTTCAGCAAGGTAGTTGTGCCAGCGAAACCACATCACACCGAAGGTTAGTAGAAAAGCGTTTTCGTTGCCACGGGGGTTGCCTAGTTCTGGAAAAACAGAGAAAGTTTTTAAAAGCATCTCTCAAGCATCAAGTAGAATAAGTCTTCTGTAAATCCCATTGATGTTACTTTCAATAATCACGTTTTTAGATTTTAAATGTATGAGATAGTTTTTGTACTTGACAATGAGATAAAACCCAGAACTGTCGTAAGTGATGGAAATTAGACAAAACAAAAGTGTTTTCTTTCATTTCATCATGAATTTCCACATAATAAACAAGTAAACAAACAAGTAAACAATTACACAAAAAACTCATAGATGTCATCTTCATAAGATTGAAAGTCGTACTCAAACTCATCTGTTGAAGACATTTAGGTCCTGGAATACATTCGTGGTTCAGCTCAACACCACTGATGTAGGTAATCTTGACGTATCGAAGCACCGTTGTCTGGATCATGAATCCTTTGGGTTATGATTTCAACAAAATGTAGGTTTTTCCTCTGTAGGATCGTGAAAAATTTTCAGTCGATTTGATTGTGGAGTTTGGTTGTGTTCAAATTCGATGAGCATAAATTGCAGGTTTCAATATGAGGTTCACAATTGAAAAAAGTGAAATTTAGCTTCTGGCAGTGAAACTTCTTCACGCGCCTTTGACTTGAGGAGTGAGCTGGTGAATGCGTGACGATAGCGTTACGAAAAGTGTGATAGGCGAGGCGAACGGGAGTTGAGAAGGAGGTATGACTTAGTGAAGATGGAACGAGAAAGTGTTACTTTTCGTATGTTACTGTAGAAGCAAGAGAGTAGCTCTGAAAAATTAGGAGGAAACTATCATAGGATGCCACTAATTTCAGCAGGAGATTTCAATGTTAATTTCGCGTTCGAAAATGTACAACTCTTGGCCGATTATTACAAGATGAATCTCTAGAAATCTTTCTAATTTTCATTTAAAAATATATGTATCTTATTTCTCATACCACAAGTTTATTGTCTGGGTTCAACAATCAACCACTGTAATTACTGATGTATTGGATGAAAAAAATAATGATAATGATAAATTAAAATGAAAAATATATTTAAAAATTTTGATTCATCAATGAAAACCCATGATAAATTCAAATATTCGTAGAAAATGAATATGTGTATATTAGGGTGTTTCATTTTCAGGCGATGTTTTTTTTCTTGGTCCTTTCGAAAATCTGATAATTCAAAGAAAAAAATATATGTTGCAGAAAGTAAATTTGAGGCTTCGATTATTCGAAAATTCGATTTCACATATGAATAACATGGAAAAATTGTTTTTTGGTTTCAACTTGATTTTTTGGTATAAAAAAAAATTTCAGAAGAGATGAGTTTTGTAGAGAATTGAATTCGCTACGAAAAATTTTTTTCGTGCAAACACTCTCCAGAAAGGTGAATGGAAATTTTCAATCCTACAGTAAANATTTCATTTGTCGAAGTCAAATATTAGTGATTTACCTACTTATATTACATCAAATTGTGTGATACTAGATCAAATGTTTCCGACAAAATAATGATGAATAGTAATAAAAAGTAATTTTCCTTCAAATGATGGCGAGTAAATACGAGTTTATTTCGTTTCTGATTGGCAAAAAATGAAATATCAGCATATTCCCAAAAACAACTTTTGAATTCTTTTCATGAAAAACTCTTCATTCGATTTGTTTAAGTTTAATTTCCTATCTTTTCAACAAAAACCAATCTTGTAGTCAATTTCAAATAATGAGATCAAATTTTAGTGAGTATCGAAAATTGAATCCTTACTGAAAAACCTGTCAACTTTCGCTGTCTCGTGGGCTCGTACGAATCTCTCATGATAAATCGGAGGCGGCGGATTAGCCATCGGCAACCTGGCGGTGTTATATTCTGGAAAAAGTCCATCGTGTGAAGATGCTAGACGACCCCGTTCATCGATTGTCCCATTCGAATATGTTCTCAGTTGATCAGACCATTGCTTCGTGATTCCATAAAATAATCCTCCATCCAAGTAAGGGGTTATCTCATTGAGCTGGAATATGATTTCAGAAATGAACATTTTCATGACTGTAACTGAAATATAACAACAGACTCTTACAGAGTGCAGAAACGTTTCCAATATGGACGTTAACGATTGCTATATAACTGATAATAAAAAATATAATTCTCTCGCGAATCTGAGATAAATGATCCTCAAACTGTGAAAATTACCCTCCCATCAACTGGCAGTTTGTAAATAATTCAGACAAAAAATTGAACTTCTGAACATTCTTGAATATACCTATTTTACAATATTGCCACTGTTTTTCTTGGGTGTAAAACCCTCTGAATAATGCAGTATCAAAAACAATGAAACTTCTTTTGAGCCTGAAACTCTGCTGAAAAAATATTTTCAAACGAAACAAAACAATATAACAAAAATATACAGAGTGTAACTGAATAAGTGTGAAACATTTAAGGAGGTGATTCCTCATCGAAGGAGTGCGATAAACAAAATGCTGTAAATAGCTCCAAATAGAGAAATCGAGAGGATCGAGCGGGCCAGTTCTGTGGTCCTCCTCGACCTAGCCACAGATTTGCATATGTTTCAGTTAAATGCTGACGTGCTACTTGACTAAAATGGGCGGGAGCCCCATCATGCAAAAAAAAGATAACCCTTCTGACGCCCAAAGGAACTTCCTCCAACAGTACCTACCTACTGGATGCACTTCTCTTAAAAATTGAACGTATACCTTACCATTTAATCGAGGAGGTAGAAAATGAGGCCCAATTAAATCATCCCCAATAACTCCGAGCCACACGTTAAGAGAAAACTGTTCTTGATAGTTAGTTTCGACAATAGCGTGAGGGTTTTCATGAGCCCATATGTGGTAATTATGAAAATTAATAATCTTGTCCCGAGAAAAACTATATTCGTCTGTGAATTCTATCGTCTTCAGAAAGTCACAATTTCTTCTAATCTGAGTTACATTGGAAATGAATTTCAGGGGTTGCGTTTTCCACCCCTTACAGCCATGGGGTAAACCAAATGAATTTCTGGCTAAGTGTCTTTTTGGTAGTACAAAACGTCAGGTTAATTTCAATATTGTACATTTTTTAGTGCTTGTGTATCTTAACAAGGGATGCTTCAATGAAATTCCTTTATATGGAAGATCGTTTTTTTTTTCGATGAGGAATCACCTCCTCAAATGTTTTACACTTATTCAGTTACACCTTGTATACACTCGTTAGGACAACAAGAGGATTGTTCCGAATTCTTGGGGTTCTTGTTGAATACTCTTCGTGAGCAAAACAATAGCAGAATTGATACTCTTGACGCTCTGGATTGAATGTCTACCAGTTTATCTTGTCTTGTGTTTGTAAATCTTTTGTTGGAAAAATCCTCACTAGTTCACTTTGTAGTAAATGTTCAAGTGATAACAAAAACGTATGTGAATTTCTGGAACTTCAACTAGTGTTTCCTGATATGACTAATAACCAATCCGTGCTAAGCTTATTGTTGAATCATCTGAAAATGGAACTTTTAACAGGTGATGAGAGACTTCATTGCCAAACATGCGCCAAACTAACTAACTTTTATAAGAAAACAACTATAGCTGAGGCACCAATCAATCTAACAATAACACTGATGGTCTTCAAACCTGAGTCAACCTCTGACGGAAGAACCAAACTCTTACGAAGGTTCGAAATAGATGAACACCTCAATCTAGCAGACAACTATTATAATCTGCAGGTTTTTCCGGGTTTTCCTGCAGCTGAAAAAGCAAATGCGCCACTAGAATCAATGAAGTCGCCCCGGAGCGCCAATTAATTTTTGTTGTTGTTTTATAATTCCATGATTTGTATTTTGGAAGTGTTATAAGTTAAAATATGTTTTTTAGCCAACCAACTGTCGCACCCCTACGAACGACAACCCTCAGAAGTCGAAAGTTGTACGAGCAAATTACTAACGAAGTTTTACTTTTCAACGTGGACAATATAATAATGCTAGGGAAAATAACATGGACCAGTGTAACCAAAGCAATCAACGAATTAGAAACTGAAGCAAATAAATGAAAGAAGACAAAACACAGAGATAAAGGAGTATACAAAATATTGATACGGCCATACATTTATCACTTTGGTTTTGAGAAAACAGTGATGAATGTAGAAAAACTCGAGAAGTTTGGAAAAAAATAATGAGAACATTTTGTCTCTAGAGAGAACTAAGGACCATTCATTGATTTATTGATTTGATTCATCATTATTTATTGACAAAATTTTTTCGCATGTGAAATATCAAATGATTGAATACCTGTTGACGGGGATTGTTGGGACTGTACCCAGTCTTCATGTCGTATCTAGTTCGTAGCAGGGGCATGAAAGTATGATTCGGATTTCCCAGATGATACTTATGATTTTCGGGTATTGGAATATTGAAATACTCCGGAGGACAAGCTGGACGTTGGGCGTCAAGAATTTCTTCAACTACTTGTTGGCCTAGAACGAATAAATACTATATTTGAATCGGAATTTCTAAGTCTTGGATTCGTGACGGTATCTTCTCCACTTACCGAAGAAAAGGAACAGGGCATTCCTTCCTACTTTCGAAGACTTTCCTATACTACCACTCAGAAGCTGATCGCTGAGTTCAAGCGGGTTGGGTCTATCGAATCCTGACGGTAAATATGTGCCATCCTGGTAGGCGGCTGGCCACCTTCTTATAAGAGGTCGATCTGAAAAATGATTGATGAGAGCAGTTATTGATGATGACTATGTATCAACTATAAACATATTCCTGAAAAATAAGCTTACAAACTGAAAATAACATTTCATTTGTCGAAGTCAAATATTAGTGATTTACCTACTTATATTACATCAAATTGTGTGATACTAGATATATGCAGATAGTACGACTGGAACTGTGTATGCGAATAGCGCTGAATAGACATAGAAAATAATATCCGAACTTGACCGAACTGGACCGCGGTCAATGGGGCTTGTAGTACAAAACGTTTCGTCTGTTACTGCGGCAGATATCATCATTAGTGCGTTGACTGCGAAGACGAAGGTTATATCTCTCAACAACACTTAAATAATGATGATAATAATGATAATTACAATGTTTATTCACTTAATATAGATAACAGGTATACCTACAAAATTCTCGAATATAAAAAAGGAGTAGATAAACAATGGCATCACAAAAGGAGCATCGCCGAAGGGATGTTCCTTGTACGTGATATAGCCATATCAGTAAATACTAAAATAAGTAAAGTAAGTAAGTAAATACTGACTAAGTTGAAATTCATCATAAGAAGTAATATAAAATAAATGTTAAAAATTATTAAAATAAGTCTGAATTATAAAAAAGTGCTTACTATGGGGCTAATATTCATAGTGGTTCAGCGACAATAGTTATTGACGATTGAACGCAAAATACATTTTGTAAATCGTACGGACTTCGAATTTTGAACCGCTCCAAATTATGTTTTCAGATAGACCAGAGAACTGAGGTATCATATCTGGAAAAATTGGCTGCTGATATGTATCTCATGTTAATATTTGTAGTTGTGATTGCTGTCTCGGACCTTTTTCTCAATGGTGAGGTTATTCCATTTGGAACGGAGGTGAAATATCTTGGCATTGCCCTTGATACAAAACTCACCTGGAACGCTNTACCTGGTGACATACCATATGTACATATTGTACCTCAGTGGCTAAATAAATTATTATTATTATTATTAATTAACCTATTATCAACAAAAGGGCAATTTCCCAAAGAATTTAAGATAGCCAGACTTGTTCTTATCGAAAAGTAAATGGTACAGGCCCATGTGTATCCTGAACATCATGGGAAAACTCCTCGAGCATCTGATCAAAGCCAGACTCTTGAGAGAAATAGAAAATAAGGAAGATCTAAATGAAAATCAGTTCGATTTTTGAAAAGGTAGGTCAACAACAGATGCACTGGCAAACGAAAGGACTGGCAAAAAAAGGTGGGCCATGATATGAATGTACAAAACGCTTTCAACTCCGCGCCATGGGAATGGATATTGAACGAAATCAAAAGAAGAGATGTAACTGCACACCTGTACAATAGAATACAAGGGAAAAATCAACACCACCTGTAGTGTTTCACAAGGCTCCGTAATTGGTGCCACATTGTCGAACATATACTACAATATGGTACTGAATCTGAAGGTCCCTTGGGAAGTTAACCTAATAGGCTACGCAGATGACCTAGCCGTAGTGGTGGTGAGAAAAAATGAAGGAAGTCTGGTTATAACTTCCAATAGAACTGTGAAGGATATAGCCAAGTGGATGACAGTGAAACAACTCAAGCTTGCCCCCCAGAAATCAGATGTAGTACTGCTACTAGCAGGCAGAAAACTGAAAAGTATTACAATTGAATTGGAGGAAACGAACATCCGTAGCCAAGAATCTATTAAATACCTGGGAATCCACATGGATCGAAATATGAAAATGGGAGCTCTTGTTAGAAAAATAGCAGAAAAAGCGGGAAAAGCCATATGCAACATAAGCAGGATAATGCTCAACGTGGGAGGTCTTTGAGTAGGTAGCGATATATGGCGCAACGATTTAGAAAAGAGCCGTAGAAAAAAAGGTATGAAGAAATATATTACTTAGTGTTCAACGGAAAGCAGCCATAAAAATATTGTGGACATATAAAACAACATCAACTAAAGCTCAGCTGATGATTGCAAGAACCCCTCCCCCCAATAGATCTGTTGGCGGAAGAGAGAACAATGGTACAAAACAACGTATCAAAAGGGTTAGCAAGGTTACAAATTATTGAAAGATAGCCACAATCTTGGGAGAAAGACGATGAAAAAGCCAACTGGACAAGAAGACTGATGAGAGACATAGAACAGAGTGCAAGTATTGCAGAATGATAGATACGATAGAACATACAATATTTGAATGCATACGTTGGGAAGACCAGAGACGAAACGCAGAAATGAGGACAAGAAAATTAACACCGGAAAACATGATAGGAAAGATGCTCAAAAGTATAGAAAACTGGAAAGCCGTTAATAAACTCTCCAAGACCATCCGGACAAAGAAAAGAACTAGATGAATGATAATGAAGTACTGAAGAAAAAGGAAGAGCCCTGAATCACCACTACAGTCAGCTATCCCGAAGTAATGCCCAAGGGCGGTTCCAGAGTAGCCTGTTTGACTCATAAGTGGTTTTTTAGTCGGTAAAAATCCGACACTATCTGGTCACAGGGCGATCAGGTGTCCTTCGAAGATTTTTCCACTCGCCATAGTAGAGAGGACTATATCCTTCGGGAGAAGGAAATATTAGGAGCAGATAGTTGTCGGTTTACAGATGGATCGAAAACACCTTCAAGTTTTGGTGCAGGTATTTTCAGTTGCAGACTCAGGACAGAGATATCAACCTGCCTAAGAACCTATGCGAAATTTACGCTATTAAATTGTGTGCGGAGATATTGGAAGAATCACACCTCATACACAAGTCAATACAAATATTTTGGGACATGCAAGCGTCGTTGGAAGGTCTTGGCTCCTACTGAGCAACGTTTAGATTGGTATCAAATTGCCAGGAACGCCTTGATAGGCCTTGATAGGAAGATTCAACAGAATTGTCTCTGGTCTGGATTCCTGGCCATACTGGCCTGGAAGGCAATGAGGCTACCTGACGCCCTTGCAAAGGAGGGTGCTGCAAGCAGCTTCATCAGAGCAGAACCTTCTGACAGAACAGTTGTTAGACTACAGTAGCGATGAACTACGATGTTTAACAGGTCTTCTTACAGGTCACTGTCATTTGATTCATTACATGCAGAGACTCAGACTGTCGGAAGACAGCGTGTGTCGCCTCTGTTGTGAGAATGATGGAACAGCAGAGCACCTACTTTGTGCCTGCCCCGCTGGGGACCGAATCAGGTTATCAGCCGTACTCTTACCATCTGACCTCAAAGACCACTCAACATAAAAACCAATCGGCTTCGTTAAGAAGCTGAGTTTATTTAGTAGAGTGTGAATAGGTGTGAGCCACAATAAACCCTTGCGGGTTGAGGTGGGGAGTCGAATAGACCCACTCACTTTGACCTGATGGTCTTGTTTTCCTAAATATTGTTTTAACGTCGTGTTTCTCTCAGGTTTTCCCAATCCCGAATTTGGGAATGAATTGAAATGAAGTGAAATAGCTTTTACATCATGGTATATTGATTAAACATCTGAACAAAATACATTTATCAGCATGTGTACAAAATTGTGTCAATCTCATTTCTCACATCGAGAGTTTTTGACAAAACAAAATCGAAAAGTAAAAACACCAAGGTTTCTATGCATCTTGGTCGAACCTATCAGTGAAGTAATAGTAGAGGCGCGTAGCTAGACCCATCAGTGGTCAATATCTGAACTAACAGTTCAATACGTCTGCCGGCTAGAGATAATCTTCTAAACACTGGTCAATTCAGGAATGGAGCTGAATACTATTGAATCCATTCAATTTGGTTTGGGTCACTCACCTATGGCTCCTGAATCTGGTCTAGCAAGGTTGTTATACCAGCCGTCGTAACCTTCATATTCGACGTTTGGGACGTCTGCTGGAGGTCTGAAATTCGGGGTCCAATTTCCGTAGAGTAACCAGTCTCCTAAAACGCGGCGATTGTTCCTACCGTCGTTATATAGCCCAGGCCAGTCAGTCCCCGTTGGCTTTGATTCGTACTTGGAAGTGGGTCGGGGTGTTGGTTGCGGGTTGTTGTTTTGTGAGGCATTACCTGTAACACGTTTTGTTAGAAAAGATTCGTAGCTCCAGACATCACAATATGGGAAGTTAAAGGGAAATATTCTAAGTCCACAAGTTAGATCAAATCTAAAAAGTTGTTGAATCTCTTGTTGTCTCTGTCTCATATCCTTCATCAATGACTGTCATAACTTGATTATACAATGCTGACTTGAGAAGTTACATCCCCTTTCTAAACGATATCAAGGTCGAATAAAGTTGTTTTATTTTAATTTTCAATAAGAAAAATAGTAGTATAGCTCCACTCGTCCCGTGATATTTCGTTTCAGTTCTCTTTCCAAGAATGGTGTGTTTTTGGAATGAATAACAGTTTTGTATTCGAATTGAAGGGGTTATATTTTTAGAAGTGATTGATTTTTGGGAAAGAAAGTTTTTGGCTTTCTACTACTCTATCTTGATACAAAAAAGGGGATAAGGGAATCTTCCAAAGAAAGGAAGGAAGTGATCAATTTGAAAATAAGTAACTCTATATATGGATGTGTAGATCATGCAAGGAAGTAACTTTCAGACACAAACTGGAAGAAAGCCCCCCTGAAACAGCTACTTTCATATAAACATTGAATTACACGAAAAAAAATTATTTCGAAACAAATACTTTTATATGAACACTGAATTATACAGAAGGTACTTTTCCCTACTCAATTTGTATTCCAAACATTCGTTGTGGAATAAACTCAGATATGATTCACAGGAGTTCTACTTCAAATGAATGGTAACAAATTGCACTCACATGGAACACTGGTAGACATCGATGTTCCGCCATAAGACACTTCCCTTAAGGCTCTTCAGTACCAAATTGGATAACATTATAGAAAATACACAATTTGGTTATTTCAAATTGATAATCAATATATTCACTTTTCACTTCCTGGCAATAATGAAGTCTCTTTACACAATGGAAGATTTCTGGGGTTATTCCCATACGTTTTTTTGAATGAGTTTCAGAATTGAATGGGGTTATGTGACGTATACTTTTGCTTTCAGAAATCCCTACAGAAATCTGAAGTCTTTTTATTCAATGGAATATTTCTGGGGTTATTCCCATACGTTTTTTTGAATGAGTTTCACAATTGAATGGGATTATGTGACGTATACTTTTGCTTTCAGAAATCCCTACAGAAATCTGAAGGCGTCATATCAGGTGATCTAGTGGGCCATTCTGAGGGACCATGCCTATTCACAAGTTTGGATAATTGTCCTTCAGCATCTTCAGGAGATGCCACTTTCGTTGTATTCGAAAACTTATTTGGCTGTGCCTGAAGTCCTATTTATTTCATGAAGAAACTCTGCCACATGGGGGGGGGGGTAATTACCTCCCCCATGACCATGACTATATAGAAAGAAAATTCGAACATTTCTTATTTTCGAACTCAAAAAATGATGATGATGAAGACACAACTATGGGTTTTTACACCTGCCTTAACCTTTGCTTTCAGAAATTCCTACAGAAATCTAAGGGCGTGACATTTCTAATGATTTCAGTAGTACTGTAGTGCTTATATTACTTACTGTTTTCATCATTTTCAGGTTTCATTATTGTCGATATTCGTAAAATGAATAGATGTCAAAACACGTTAGATAACTTCATAGTTGTGAAAAAGCAGAAGGAAAAAAATCAATAAGAAATCAGAGAGCGTAGATTATATCAATGATATAATCAATAATCAGCCTTCTACAAGTTCAACAGTTTCAAAAACTGATGGTAAATGTGGCAATTAATCACCAAACTCCAGCTCCAGATCAACCATGTCGGACACTTCTTCAACAGGACTTGTCTTGCTTAATATTCATCGGGATATAAACATTAATATAAATAATATCGTAGAAAGATATAGCGCTAAAAAAAGGAATTTAAAATTTAGTACCTTTCATCCATTATAACCTGTTTTTGTTATTTTGTCATGTTGATATATTTTTAGTTATACATCCTCTCATTTTAGAGTTATGGTTTTCTACACATTTTCTCATGTTTTCGTTTTGAAGATTATTCTGTTTATTTATTTATTTTTTCAAAGAGAAAGCCTCAGTGTTACTGAAGTTTTACTTTTTAAAACGTATATTAACCCTTCATAGTGAATATTGGGCCTGAATTGGGTGATTACCCCCCCCCATGAAATTACCCTAGGCACGCGCCTAGTCACATGTTGAATTATTCACAGGTATGAGCAGGTAGATAAGCAGGCATATTCAACATCGACAGTAAATTGATTACATATCACCCCAATCAAGATCGATAATTAATCCATTGAGGTTGTCGATAATTTTGTATACTCAGGCTTCATGATTGGATTTCAAAAAGCACTTTGTAACTTAGTTTTGCTAGAGTTATTAAAGACGCTTTGATGAAATCAATGATGAAGAATTGACATTTCTAAAATTGATATGATGATTCAATTGATTCAGAAATTCACGAAGATTTTCAAAATGTCATGAAATACAGGATGTGTCGTTTGAAAAATTGAAGTACACGTTTATATCATCAAGAGCATAGTTGAAACGAAAAAAAGAATAACGGAAATATTAGTGGTATACCTAACCTAAGTTGAAACCAAGTCACAAAAAGCGGCATCTTGAATATTGGATATCAAGATTCCCTCTGAAGATATTCAATCTAACCTCAAATAGGTATGCAAAACATTTTCTTACAATAAAGTTGAAAGAAAAAGAAAAATGTCACCTACCCTGACCATATACTGTGTAAATTATTCCACATAAGCACAGTAAAATATTAATCAACATTATCACTGCTAAATATATTCACAACTTATGGTATCATTTTCAATGAAACAGAACAGGCTAGGCTGAGAGGAAACGGATAATATTATCTACCTCGATGTATCTGCTCTCATGAACAAAATGGTAAACTACATGAGTCTGAGGAAATATAACTGACGATAGTGGTTTACATGAAACCGCAACGGAGGATGGAAAACAATCCGATTGAAGGTTTGTTGCTTTAAAGAGTTCAAAAATATCACAGATTCATATCAAAAAGCAGCTCTCTAGTAATGATATATGCTTCCCAGAAATTTCTGTGAAGAACTTCACTCTTGAGCTTACTGTCTAAATATGCATATGAAGAAATCTTCTGATGACTTTCGATTTCGTGAGTTTGTCTCTCAAAGTTTCAACTGATGAGAGCCTAAGAATTGTTAAAATCAAATTAAAAAAGATAATCCGAAAAATAGAACAGAATTGAACTTAGAATGTGACTTGGAACTCCAAGAATTGCATGTAGATGAAATGTTTTTCATCAACGAAAATTTTAAAGTTGTATGAGAGTAGTTGACGATGTTTCATGGTTACCGCCTCGACCAGATATTTTTCTCGAGAGAATTTATCTGGTTGAAGCTGGGATGATTCTGCAACCGTGTTACGAATCACACATTAGAAGGTGAGACCTCTTTAGTCCTTAGCTCGCACAATTTTTTCAACTTCTGAGAGTTGTCGTTGTACAATAGCTTCTTCAAGCATACACATGCATAAACATGCTTGATGAAGCTATTGTATAGCGAAACACGTGTCGCGATTTTTGTAAAACTCTTCTATAGTGAGCATGTTTATGCTTGAAGTAGCTATTGTATAGCGAAACACGTATCGCGGTTTTTGTAAAACCCTTATAGTGAAAATCATAGAATAAACTCTATTGATTAGTGTTTTATTAAGTTGAAAGAAAAATAAAAATGTCACCTACCCTGACCATTTACTGTATAAATTATTCCACATAAGCACAGTAGAATATAAATCAACATTATCACTGCTAAATATATTAACAACTTATGGTATCATTTTCACTGAAATAGAACAGACTAGGCTGAGAGGAAACGGATAATATTATCTACCTCGATGTATCTCCTCTCATGAATAAAATGGTAAACTACATGAGTCTGAGGAAATATAACTGACTGATAGTGGTTTACATGAAACCGCAACTGAGGATGGAAAACAGTCCGATTGAATGTTTGTTGTTTTATACACAGAGTTCAAGAATACCACAAAGTCATATTGAAAACGGCTCTCTAGTAATGATAGATGCTTCCCAGAAGCTGCTATGGAGAACTTCACTCTTGTACTTACTATCTGGATGTAAATAGAAAGGAATGATAATCTTCTGATGACTTTCGTTTTGTCAGTTTGTCTCCCAAAGTTCCAACTGTCGAGACGCTAAGAGTAGTGAAAACGAAATAAAAATTGAAAATCTAAAAATAGAAGAGAATTGAATGTGAAAGGTGGCTTGGAGATCTTATAATTGTGTGCAGATAAAACGTTTTCTTCAACAAGAATTTTAAATTTGTTTGGAAGAGATTGACAATGTTTCATGGTGACTTTTACTTGTTCGAACATTCATTGTATAATATGATTTTACTATTATTCTAATTCTGTGAAAGAAGAAATGAAATTAGAAATTTCAATAGCTGAAATTTATTGGATACTAGCAATCGAAGCGTCATGAAGTGACTTGGTTTGAAATTTTTTGTGATTTTTGCCTATTTTTATCTTTTTTCTTTTGTCTGATACCTATCATTTCATAAATAATACATCCTTGAAATTTGAAAGTACGGTGGCAAGGTATGTTGAATGAGTTAATTCTCAAATTGACCATATGTATGTCAGAATGCCTGCTTAATGGAGTATATAAATAACTAGGTGTTTTAGTTTGAAGCAACTTTAACAAAACATGTTTTTATCATATATTGGCCTCACATTCATTTTTAACAAAAATGGTGTGACATGTTCATATGGTATACAGCCTACGAATCGCATGCAAGCATTTTGTATACGTTGTAACTTCTGTTTGTTATATTGCGACAAAAAATTGTAATACACAGTTTCGATGAGTGGCTAATAAGCCCGAAACCGGTCTGCAAGTGTGCCCGTTCCAGAATTGAAGGTCGACTCTTTCAGTTGTATTGCCAATTGCATATGCAGGAAATTTTCTGTGAAGATTCCTGCACTGACGCCTGTCGGATATAATTCAACGCCCTTCGTGGTATTAGCCAGGGGAGTAGTTGTTTTATGATAGGCGTCAGTCCATTAAACCTACTGTGTAGGTATATCGAGACTGGCTTGAACGTTTAAAGTTGATTTGCTTTAGATTTGTTTACTGCCAGATTTGTTGACTAACCTGAGTATCATTTCTTTTGATAACTGATACTTGAATTTCTATAGCGGTTTGAGTTTGAAGAACGATACTTTGAAAAAGTTTGTCACATGTTCATGGAAAGACAAAGAACTATCTATGATTACGCCAAGATTTTTAGCACTGTCTAACGACAGTGAGCCTAAATTACACTGAGTTTTTACTATTTTTCTTAGAGACCCTATGCATAAGGCCAAAGTTTTATTTGGATTGATTTTCAGTACATGATTCTCCGAGTATAGGAATGTTTTCTGCAAATCTTTGTTTATATTGGCCACGTATATCATCTGCGTATAGATGTATTTGACAATGTGATAAGAAAGTCGAGTAATCAAAAATAAACACTGAAAACATCAAGAGTCCTAAAATACTTTCCTGCAGTACACCTGAGATTGTTTCTTTCAGGGATGACCATGAGTAATCATCCAGTTTGACCCTCTGTGATTGGCCTGTGAGATAACTGGTTATCCATAAATGTCATAATAATCACCCATTCCAAATATATAATTTCCACTATTTTTTTGATTTTTTTTTCATTCTTCCTAATTACCCGTTGTACTCAAAAGGACTTTTCTCGAAATTCACTCTACATTAGAAAAGTTACCAGCAGATTTTCAAATTCAGCTAGGATGACCTCTAGAAAGAACTGTACCAACTTTCAGAAACTCATTTCACGTATCATATGAACCTGAATTCATCAACACCCACTTCCATCCTGTTGACATCCTCAAGTTAATAATGTTGATATCGTAATGAAAACGTACTAATTCAAATCAAAATTGTGAGCACGCTACTGACCACAGCAGGCTTTGAATAAAACAACCTGGAAATGAAAAAGGAAAGATAAAATAAACCCAAATGACTCAGGAAAAAGAACGTTAGGAGAAGCACCAGCGTGAGTCTTCGGTGGTTATACATTTATGCATGTGTGTGGATCATATGTGACAGCAGAATTGATTCCAGTATATGGAATCACTTTAAAACAGAAGAAGTGGATGCTCTAGTTCAAATTTATGATATTTGGAAGCGGCATTTGACTGCAATATATATCATTATTCTGGAAGTTGGATGCTTTATTAAAAAATATACGTTATAGTTTTGATGTGTGTTAGTTCTAGCACGAAAGAAAGATTTATTGTGAGGTTAGTCGAAATTATTATTATTATTATTATTTGTTCCTTTCATCGATTTTAAATCTGTCCGAACTTATAACATCGGCTTTTCATTCTCTCAAAATCTACAAAGCACAAAGAAAGAAGAATCATCTAGACGTCATGTGTTCCACATAACTCCAACTTCAACCTGCCTTCGATTACACATAAAACTCAACTCGATATCTTCTGACAGCTACTAGCAACGTGAATGTATTTCCTGTACATCTACATGTGTATGTGTACAGACGCAGATAACACGGCACAAAACAGGTCCAAGCATTGAATGCTGAAAGACGGGTCTGAATTGTACGAGTTTCTAACAATTGTGGAGACAATAGCCATGTCTCGCCATTTGCACGATTGTATAAGCTTTATGAAACGCTCCATTTGAATATTCATGGAAGGACGCCAGAGAAAGCTACCCGCATTGATTTCCAGATTTTGAGAAAGCTAACATACTGGGTGTTTTTGTTCCATACATGCAGTAATACAAAATCAGTAAGACGTGACTTATGCTCAAACTAAAATTTCCATTCGGATTCATTTGAAATGGGAAAAAAATATGTTCGAATGAAATCTGAAGTATTGTTTTGTCTGTTTATGACGCAGCCATCATCAGTGGTATGTGCGTTGACTGCGGAGACGATAGTCATGAGAAGACTCAACAAACTGAACAAATCTCTAGACTTACTAGTAAAGACTAGTTCTGTGTCAACAATGTCAAATACGAAAACGGGAGAACAGCACAGTTTGGTGTTAGGACCGTTACTGTTTCTATTGTATATCAGTTACCTGAACATTCTTGGTTCTTCGTCACTCTTTGGTGATGAAGCCACATAGAATCACAAGTATTTATACATCACATCACCTTCTCACCTCACTTCATCTTCTTTAATTTCAATAATCAACATTTTTCAATAGCAGCAACAACATAAATTACCAATTTTCAATGACAACTTTGTTATTTAGCAATGCCATGAGAACAAACAGCAAAATGAAACCACGTTTACGTAGAAAGAGTTAATGTAACTATTACTGGTGGCTCGATTGGTAATGCTCAGAAATAATAAAGTTTGAATTAGAAAAATATACATTTATCTGAGAAAATTTTTAGTACCTACATGTGGTATTCTCTGATGAACTTATCGTTCATCGTTCTTCAATATCGGAATAACAATCTCGTATTCATCAACAATAGCTGACCTACTTGACGCGACTAAATACATCAACAATACGTCGCGTATTCTTTTCGATTTCATTGAAATTCAGAATAACATTTCTTTAAAAAAAAAAAAGGTTAACATCGTACGTCTCGAAATATAACATAATATCTAATCGTCAGTTTGGGTTTTGCAAAAAAGTATCCACTCAGGACGCAATCATAGCTCTCATCATAGATATATCATCAGCTCTTAATGAAAATAAACCATGCCTATGCGTATTCATCGACTTGTCGAAGGCATTCGACACGGTTGACTATGACCTTCTATTGAAATCCTTGAAGGATATTGGTATAAGAGGCAAAACTTTGAATTTGTTCAGAAGTTACCTCACTGATAGATT